TCAGAATCATAGATATGAAAGGATTTTCAACACCTTACTTTTTGTGATGCTTGTAATTTAGGGACTAAAGGAAATTTTATCAGGAGTGTAAAGAAATATTTTTTTTATGTAGACATTAGGCAATGTCTTTATCCCCTCTCAAATAGAATTGCCATGGCCACAGGATTCTCACTCCTGAGTCACCTTACTGGTATCTGACTTGGGGAGCATCCAGACAGGCCCTTTAATGTTGGATTTACCACAATTAAAAGGGGGCTGTCAAGATGACATCCTGGACAAACCCAAATGAATTTGCTACAAACCAGGAAAACCCTGGTTTGTGGTAAATTAATTGGTTAGTGGGTTTATTCCACGCCATCTTAGAAGGTGCGGGATAAACCCATTACTTCCAGTGTCTGGACTGCAGTTCAGACAGTAGTCCCATGGTTTTCCAGGCTACATTAGCCCAGAAAACTGTGAGAACACCAACTCCCTCCCCAAAGCCCCCAAAAGCTCTGTAAAAACAAAAGAACTTACCTGGCTTCCATTAGAGGGCTGCCGGAGCTCTCCTGGCATGTAGAAATGACGGGCCAGGAGAGCTCCAGCAGCCTTCTAATGGAGGTCAGGTAAGTTCTTTTGTTTTTTACAGGGCTTTTGGGGAGGAGGTTAGAAAGTTTCAGGAGAACATCTAGATACCCACATCAGAAAGCACAGGCTTTCTGGGGTGTGTGTGGATGGGCCCCTGTAGCTTTCTGCTGCATCACTATTGGTTCTTGGCTCAGGATATATATTCTCCTTTGAAGCTGTAAGGACCTTACTGCACATTTTTTGCTTCTCTCGTCACATAGTTCTAAAAGTCAGCCAAAAATTCCAGAGAGAATGATTTACATCTTAAAAGATTAAATAACTTCAGCTGACTGAATACCAGAAAAGGGTGGACAATGGGTGTGTTCACGTACAGTCATTTTACTGACCTGTCTTTAATCCCTTAGCAAAATGTTCTCATGCTTTGGATATGACTATAGCTGTTGAGATAATATTTTGGACAGTGAAGCATTTTGTAAGATAAGAAACAGTTACAGAATAGCCATCTGTTGTCCAATTGATAGAGAGGTAGGAATACAATTCAACACTTGGTTTACAGTGAGCATTCCCCAGTAGCCCTGTGTACATTGTAGGATGATCCTGCTGTTTTTTTTGTGAAATAAAATGCTTTATTATGCAATGAATATTTGGGGAAGATGAGGCTGTTCAAGGCTGCTTATAGGAAGAAAACAGAGGAAGAAACAAGTATTCAAACAATAAATGTGGAGGGAAATCTTTCAGAAACAGGATCAACAGCTTCTAATGTCAGAGTCCAAAAATGAGATAACAGATTATGGGCTCCAAGTTTTGGGGAAGGAGGCTTTGAGTAAGATGTCTGCAGGGAGATAAGAGGAGTAAAGGATGTATCCTTTACTGTGGTATGGGTCTTAGTATGTGCTCAATTGTACCAGTCTCTAACACCAGTCCTGTATAGGTACAGAAAATATATTTTCGTAGGTTTGCTGAGTTCATGTGTGGAATAGGTGCATTTTCTCTTCTTTATACATAAATCAATAAATCCAGCACCTTCTCCTTCTCCTACTTTGTGGTGTCACATTCAATGTAGTGGTGCATATCTTTAAATCCTCTGTGTGGCTTAGTACCCAAGTATCTAGTGGATCACTGTATCAATCCTCCTACACACTGAGATTTGGGACTGTTATTAACTGCCCTCCTACAAGAGAGCTTTTTCATGATTGTTCTCTACTTTTTAAAGTCCCTTTATTTATTTACTGTGATACCAGGTCCTTTGATGGAGTACTTCCTCATTCTTCTGCACAATGCTGGAAGGTTTTATGATGTGGTAAATTAGTTAATTTAGTCTCCCCGCATAAAGCTGTATCTAAATTTCCTACTTAACAGATGCAACAGTCTTTTGGGCTGCATAGGTCAACAGCAAGCTAGACTATTAATGATCGGGAGCTTACTCCAACCTGGGCTAGCTTCGAACTCATGATCTCTTGGTCAGTAGTGATTTAATGCAGCTAGCTACTAACTAGCTGCACCACAGCTCTTCCAACAAAGTTATAACTCAATGACCTACTTGTTGTTTTACTGCTAGGTAAGGGCTGCTAACTTTAGATATTTCTAATTATTTTAAGTTACTGTGCAGTTTTATTGATTATGGTTTATGTTTAAAGCTTTTGGACATTCCAAGCTTTTGTATTTCATTGTTTTGTTATAGTTATTTTTAGTCTTTCAGAAGATACACAGGGAATCTAGTTCGAAAAGAGATAATACATTTCAGAAATCATTCAATAAACAAACTTTTTCTATATGGCTAGTTGCTATATGAATGATTCAGGTAGGAAATATAAATGTGCTTTAGCTTGAATACTTATGAACACTAGGGAAAAAGGATGCAAAGTTATCCATTACAATACCACCCCCATATTAATAAAGGATATGTTTTAAGATTTTCCAGTTGATATCCTACATTTTGACTACCTTTGAGCCAGAAGTATGATGTAGAATAGAACTAAGAGGACCTAGAGAGGCCCACTATTACTTTTGTTTGTTGACCTCTCCCAGTGCTGTTCTGTGATATGCATGGGCTGGGAGAATCGTAGAATCATAGAGACCACATGGGCCATCTAGTTCAACCCTTTGATCATTGTAGTTGCCCCCCTCTGGACACCTTCCAGTTTGTCAAAATCTCTTTTGAACTGTGGTGTCCAGAATTGGACACAGTATTCCAGGTGAGGTCTAACCAAAGCAGAACAAAGAGGCACCATAACTTCCCTCAATCTAGACACCATACTACATATGATGCAGCCCAAAATCCCATTGACTTTTGTAGCTGCTGCATCACATTGTTGGCTCATGCTCAGCTTGTTGTTCATGAAGACTCCAATATCCTTTTCACATGGGCTGTTGTCAAGCTGGGCGTCACCTATCCTGTATCTTTGTATTTCATTTCTTTCTACCTAAATTACCTGTATTCTCTTTTCCTCCTTGTTGAAATTAATGTTGTTAGTTTTGATCAAACTCTCTAATCTGTTAAGTTTGTTTTGAATTCTGATCTTGTCTTGTAGAGAGTTAGCTATCCAGCCTAACTTGGTGTCATCTGCCAACTTGATAAGCATGCCCTCTAAACTTTCATCTATTGAGTTTGTGGATAAGGAGATCATGCTGTATTAATAGCCTGAGTTGTGTAATTATTGATCGATCAGATGATACAAATTGGATACTTTCTTGTTGAGGAGTAACAAAATGGAGGTCCAATAATCTTTCCTGTTAAACCAAGTTTTTGCTAAAATAGCTAAGATATATTAAGCTGTCTCTACAGTTTGTATCATAAACGAAAGTACAGTGAATTGCTTTTGATGTTTTGCAAGAGATCATGAACCTTGCAAAATGCTACAATGCAATGTGCATTGATTCTGTCTTGTTTTATATCTTGAAAAAAACACAGAAAAATGAATGAAAGTGATTTTTCTACAGCACTGTCTTTGCAATCAATGCTGCTATATAGCAATATATGCCATTGTGTGCATGATTGCCAGATGTCCCTTATTATAAGGAATGTGCCCTGTTTGAAGACTGGAGAGCTTTTTCTTTTGTACAGACTGATTACAATGCCCCCAAGTCCCATATTGTAAGATATGGACCCTTCATAAAGATAGAAAATATGTTCATCATGTCATTTCTGAATTTGGAGAATATGATAATTTTACAGAGAAATACATGACAAAGTTAACTTTTTATCATGTCAGAAGCCACTTGAGAAACTGCAAGTCATTTCTGGTGTGAAATAATTGGCCGTCTGCAAGGATGTTGCCCAGGGGATGCCTGGCTGTTTTACCTTCTGTGGGAGGCTTCTCTCATGTCCCCAAATGGGAAGCGGGGGCTGACAGACTTGTTTTATATCTTGAAAAAAACACAGAAAAATGAATGAAAGTGATTTTTTCTACAGCACTGTCTTTGCAATCAATGCTGCTCATCCCGTCTCATGGATTTGAACTACTGTCCTTCAGGTCAGCAGTTCAGCTGGCACAAGGGTTTAACCCATTGCGCCACCACAGATTCTTTACAAAGTTAACTTAAATCTATTTTTATTTGGTATTTAGGTACCTTATTGTTCCTTATTGATGTTTTCAAACCTGGAAACACTAACTGTGTGTTACCATGGTTAGATTCCAAGGAGTTGAATGGAAACAGAAAAATAATCTGTAGGGACTTCCCTCTAATTGTAATCCAGCTGCATAGGCTGATTGAAATAGTTTACTATTTGCTCTGATCATCTCTTCTGGTGTCATATCGCAGGAATAATCTTGTTCAGTGTTAGCTGTTATGTCAACCTTGGTTTGTCTTTTTATCAAGAAGTAATGATATTGCACAGGTTTGGTACTTATATGTATTCATATTTGTTGACACAGCCATGTTGTACTAGAGCTCTTTCTTCCAAATCTAACTGCAGCTCCTTTCTACCCATATAATATACTATGGAAATGTAGGGACAGGGAAGAAATACTCCTGGTTCTGCCATTGCAGAAAAAAAATCAGTTTACATAGAAAAATGTATATGCAGAAATCATATATATGAAAAAATGTACAAGTTTTTAAAAGTTTATATTTGTAAAATGTACAAAAACATACTTTTGTTAATCGCAATATGCATTGACACATGTACATTTGTAAAATGTTTATAGTAATGCACATAAATATTTGTGCAAGAAGAACTATCATAATGAAAAGTATCATAAACTGGAACAGAGACAGTTGTGTTCAGGTCTACAGAAATTTAAAATACTTTGCTTTCTGATGAGGTAGAAGTATTTCTGTTTTTGCTGTATAATTTAGAAAAACACCAAAGACAAGCAATTCAAATTAATAGCAACAACATAGGGAAATTCCAAACCAATCATTGTTTTGGAATGTTTAATATCAAATAAAAAGTCAATTTTTAATATGTAAATTTTAATGTATTTCCCCAGTGAGAAGAGCAGAAACCTGGCAGTTGTAATTGACTACACATTAAAGGATCTTCAGCCATGGACAAAAAGCAGAAACAAGTGAAAAGAGAGTTTGGAAAGAGATTCTCTTTGGACAGCAGCCTTATGGTGAGTACAAAAATGTTTCTACACTTCTGGATGTTTTTGTCTTTCTGGCTGCTGGATTTGGCCTTTTTACAGTGGTGCTCTTTTATAGCTTGATTGTATTCCAAAACACATATTCAAGATTGTGGCTCGTATTCAGGTATTAATATAGCTGCATGCTTAAGCATCTCTGCAATGTTTGTTTGATATTTCATTCTGTCTGTGCAGTCTCCAAAGCCAGCCTTCCATGTTCAGTGTAAGGTCCACTGGCAGATGGTTATGCTACACCAGTGGTTCTCAACCTGTGGGTCCCCAGAACTCCCAGAAACCCTAACAGCTGATAAACTGACTGGGATTTCTGGGAGCTGTAGGCCAAAACACCTGGGGATCCACAGGTTGAGAACCACTTGTTATACTGATGGACTATTGAATTGAGGCCATTGTGTTGGAATCAGACTTGATAATCTTTGCAACAGCTGCATTGAAATCAATAAGATTTAATTGTGACTAACCCAATGAATACCTAGTAAGTCTTAGTGATTTCAGAGGGACCAGTGATTTCAGAGGGCATATCTAAATTTGCATCAGATGAGATCTAAGCAACTGTATTTTCGGAATTGTGAAAGACAAAGGTATTATTAATGGCTGAATGTAAATAGAAGTTTGCAGCCAAATACATGAAGGGATATCTGTGTAGGAACATGATGCATTGATAGTATTGGAAGGAATTACAGAGGAAAGATAGTGTTTTATTCAGGGTAGTTTGATGAATCTGGGATGCACTAAAATAAAGTAACAGATCAGTTTTGGAGCTGTTACTTCAAATAATAGGAAAAGTTTGTGCAAGAGTGGCTTAGTACAGAATATTTTAAAGTGTTTATCTAAAATGTAAAATTGATATGACAAACGCATGTTTATCCACATATTATCATTGACAGCAATGATTGCCTGTCTCTCTCTCTCTTAAGTGCGCAACTAATGACACATTTAGGTTTACACCTGTCTTGTGAAATGGTTGCAAGACAAAGAAAGGATATAAGTATGTGCCTGTAGTGGAAATAATGCAGCCCACACTTCACATGTGACATTTTTTCAGGCATATGGGACAAACACGTGTAACATAGCTGTGACTGAGGGCAACTCTTTATTAAATATACAGTAAGAGCCCATATCCACAGATTCACTTACTCATGCCTGGGGAGCAATGGTATATCGAGGAACTTGTTAAGTCCTTCAGGTGATTCAGTAGCATGCTCCCCCAAAAGGATACTACTGAGACTTTCTAAACCCCTCAGGGTTTTATTTATTGCATCAGAAGCAAGTTGAGGGTACAGTTAACCTGTATTTAAAAACACAACATTTAAAAACTTGGCATTATGCTAAATGTCCTTTGACCAGAAGCTGGCCACTTGGAGGGACTCTGGTTTTATTGTGAGAAGGTCCTCCATTGTGCATGTGGCAGGACTCAGGTTGCATTGGGGTAGGTGGTCTGTGGTTTGGTCTGCTCCACACTTACATGTCGTCGACTGCACTTTGTAGCCCCATTTTTGAAGGTTGGCTCTGCATCTCATGGTGCCAGAGTGCAGTCTGTTCAGTGACTTTCAAGTCACCCAGTCTTTTGTGTGGCCAGGAGGGAGTTTCTCATTCAGTCTCAGCCACTGATTCAGGTGCCGGGTTTTAACCTGCCACTTTTGGATTCTTGCTTTGAGTTGTTCCTGTGAGTATCTCTCTTGATCTTAGGAAGCTGTTTCTTGATTTAAGGCATTGGCATGCTGGCTGATACTTGAACAGAGGATGGGCCAGAGATGTCACTGCTTTGGTCCTTTCATTATTGACAGCTACTTCCCAACAGAAGTCAGGTGGTCCTAAACAGTATAATTTCTCCAGTTGTGTGGGGCATAGGCATCCTATGATAATGCGTCATGTCTCATTAAGAGCCACATCCACTGTTTTAATGTGGTGCAATGTATTCCACACAGGGCATGCATATTCAACAGCAGAGTAGCAAAGCCACAGGGGCAGATGCCTTCACTGTATCTGATTGGGATCCCCAGGTTGTGCTTGCAATCCTTCAGGGTGACTTTGTGATATACCTGGACTGGAAGTTAGGTAACTCAATGGTGTTTAATCATAGCTGTAGTTTCAGGTAACAATGGTCCAGCTGGTAATGTATCTCCTTCGGAATTGAGCTCTTATGTCACAGTTGGCAACAATTCTATCACAAACAGCAAATGCCTGGAACTTTGACTTCATGGCTTCCAATTCTAGGTGATTCTTCACCCTTGAAGTTCACCTGTTCATTATTTATGTGAAATGTACTTTAGGTATGCTTCAGACTAGATTATACATGTTTTCTAATATCACTTTAAAGAGACATCTATTTCCATGCAATCCTATCCTAATATTATACAGGGCTTCAACCTTGCCAAATACTTAAGGGAAGACATAACCTTTTCTCTCAAGTTGTTTTCAACACATACCATTTTAGGGGGTTTCCAAAAAAATGGGTGTGGGGATTGTATATCAGGACCCACCTAGTCCTTTGAAACACAATTTATGAACATCCCCTCATCTGTAATGGTGAAAGAAATATAGATTCCTTTGGAAAAGGTTTCACAGAGGAGAGGTGGAGCTGAATACAATATCTGTGCTTTTGAGAATTTCAATCATGTCATGACAGTGTCCTCTGGAAGAGGTTTTGCAGAAGAGAACTGGCATTGAATATCGTATCAAGTGCTCCTGAGAATTACAACATGCTGTAAAACTTTCCTTAAGCTACCTAATAGCTGGACTATGAGCATGTGTATAATAATGAATATATTTTGCTCTCAGAATAGGCTCCGCAGCGAGGGGGTGCATTTGTAAATTAATACAGGGAGGAGTAGCAATGTAAGAAAACCTGCTCCTTCCATCAAAGCCCTAGTAGATTCCTTTGAGCAAAATCCACATCTTTGTGCCTGCTGCCTGGTTCCACTTTCAGCATAAGGACTTTGTCCCTCACTCAGTGACAGAAAAGCAGCTTTCTTTTCAAAGAAATTAGATTCCCAGGGTCAGTGTTTCAGAAGGGTGCTGACATGTTGAGTTAGTACCCTTCAAAGTGCAAATGTAGGAAGGCTGGTATGAGATTTCTGTAGATGATGAAATCAGCTGACCTGGGAAGGAATGGAAAGTGGAGATGAAAATCAAAGTCACCTCCCTTTTCTGGGTCAGTAATAGAGTAGTTATAGTTGGAGAGATGAAAGGACAGCCTTCTAGCTTGTAAAATAAATCAAGGAACTCCCTTGTCTTCTCCTTTTCAGTCCCCTCAACAGCAGATTCCTTCTATTCCCAGATAAATAATTAATCAGCACCAGTATAACAAGTTGTATGAATCTTGTAGTGAAATAGGATGTCACTGACTTTATGTTTTGGTTACTACCCTGGGGAAAAAAAGAAAAGAAAATAACAAAGTTCTGACTCTATAACAATGTTTGATTCTGGAAATCCTATATGATGTTTTCTCTTCTGTCTCTTTTCAGAGTGAGGTTAAAAAATCTTTAATAATTGCTAAATTGGAAAATTTAAAAAGCAAAGGAGCCCAGGCTGAAAAAAGTAGTTATATTACCACTTAACAAGGCAGTTGTGTTGGGCAGGTCATGAATGATTGAATAATAGAATCAAAGAGTTGGAAGACATCACAAGGGCCAACCTCCTGCCATTCAGGAACACCCAATCAAAGCACCCCTGACAGATGGCCATGCCGAAGCACTATTAAACAGCTTTTACCATCATAAAGCTTCAGAAGACGTTCACTTCTTGGGAGGAGAGCAATGACCAATCTTGATAAAATAGTGTAAGGAAGGCTGAGCAAAGGAAAAAAAAGATGCTTTTGAACTGTGGTGTTGGAGGAATATTTTGAGAGTGCCTTGCACTGCGGGAAGTTCAAACCAGTCCATACTCCAGGAAATAATGCCTGACTGCTCAGTGGAGGGAAGGATGAAGTTCTTTGGCCACATAATGAGAAGACAGGAAAGTTTGGAGAAGACAATTATGCTGGGGAAAATGGAAGGAAAAAGGAAAAGGGGCCGACCAAGGACAAGATGGATGGGTGGATGGATGGGTGGATGGTATCCTTGAAGTGACTGGGGGTTGTGACAGCCGACAGGGAGCTCTGGCGTGGGCTGGTCTGTGAGGTCACAAACAATCAGAAGTGACTGAATGGATAAACAACAAAAATGTTTAGGTGGAATCTCTTTCCCTGGACTTTGAATCCATTGCTCTGTGTCCTGTTTTTTTTAAAATCCAATCTAAACATACCTAACTTCATAAGCCGTTCCCCATAGAACTTGGCTTAGTCAGCCATCTTTCTTCCCAGCCTTATGTGTAGGTTTCCTGGGGCTGAGAAAAAATAGATTGGATCAATAGAACTACGGGTAGGCCACTTTCTTCTTTACTTGTTGCCCTTCTCTTCATGCTGCACATTATCCCAAGGATTGCAACTTCAAGTGCCATAGTTCAGGTTTATCATAAGTCAACAAGTTCATATTTCTCTCAATGTTCTCACACATTCAGTACCCAGGTTTTATTGGACTACACTTTCCATCAGTACTGACCAATGAATCAAGATAGTGCAGGTTGCAGTTGAATGGGGTGGGGTGAATCTCATGTACTGAATAAAAAGCCTTTGCCAATGTGCCCAATGCAAGCTAGCAAGTTAGTGCAATATGAGAATATGGAATAGAAAAATGACTAATGAAATGGCCTTGGATCTTGATTTTGGATGATATGATTTTAATAATTGGTTTTAACATTGATGTTTTAATTTCTTGGTTTTATTACATGTGCTTATTTTATTGTATGTATGTTTATGGCATAGAATTACAGCCTTTTTTTGTAAGGCCACTCTGAGTCTCCTTCGGGGTGAGAAGGGCGGGATATAAATGTAGTAAATAAATAAATAAATGTAAGGCTCATGCTTTATTTAAAATGAAGGCAACAAAAGTGGATTCAGAATGCACAGAAATATATTTCCGTCTCTAAACTTG